GGTAAACATTAAAGCAGAGGGTTGAATCGTGAAAAGTGATCGTTTCATGATCACCGTTAGGTAATCTATCAGGTGTTTTCGCAACGTGTCGATCCTTGCTCTAGCTTACTTATAAGATTATGAATACAGATACGTAAAACTAAAAAAAAATATCATATTTTTTCAGGTACCATATCAACGTCGATATAATAAAATATAATAATATTTTATCGGGATGAGTTTAAAGTGAATTTATTATTATTATTCACTTATCAATAAAATCACAAGGACTATTATAATTAATTAACATAAAATAATAATAAATATTGATATTATTCCGATCGTCATAAATATAGTATGTATTATATTGATTTTTTTTTAATCATATAATTTTTAAAACTTTAACTTTGTAATATTGAGAATATAATACTAATATAAAAGAAATTCAACTTTTAAAGTTAATTCACATCGTTAATTGGTCTGATAAAAGTTATACAATCAAAAAAGAAAAATACTTGGGGAGTCCGTTTTCTTAATCCACAATTAATATTTACTATAAGATAAACCATCTAAATTCCACAATATATTTTAATAACAATTTTTGAAAATTACCATGATAATCAGGTCAGGCCTTCCAAATGTTAGCTAAATTATGACAAACTTACTTAGGTTTAAATTAAATTACTTTATAAACATTATGTTTTTGGAAAAAATGAAACCAGATACATGCGTATATTGTGTTTATTATATTAACATTAATCGAGACTCAAAAATAACAATATCACTAATAGGTTTTCTGCAATTTGTTAATTAATTTAAATCGATGCCAGTGAACGTTCAAATTTATTAAATGTTACATCATAAACGTACTTACCTAGACACTCAAAAGTTGACATATGTGTTCAGTGTACCTTAACCTAATACAATTATAAGCTAATACAGCTTAAGTACTATTCTTGTCGATATTATATACATAACTATAATCTCGTATTATATTTCGGAATTCTATATGAACGATAATACTATAAACGTTGTCACTTGTCACAACTCGAAAGTAGTAGTGACTTTTTGAGCATAATAGGTATTCGGTATCAGTAAAAGTGTCGAGCTTGTTCAGTCATTTGAAATTTGAAATACTTAATGAAGCGATGAATGTGTTTTTTTCATTATGTATGTGATCATTATTCATTATTTTTAGTGAAGTGAATGTTCCGAAAATATAATTAATACAATAAATATATTAAATATATTAAAAGCTTGTTCTACGGATCACCTTAAATAAATATATTTTTTAAAACTTATCACTAGGTTATTAAGAGAACAGTGAAGTTCACGGCACATTTGAAAAAAAACCGTAAAATCTAGGATTATTTAAAACTATCTGAAGTATTTATTATATTTAACATGCATAATGCATTTTAAAACTATTTGACAATATATTTAATGATAAGCATTGAATTATGTAAATATGTAGTTTTCTATATTAGTATAATTTGTATACATGTAACATCTAACTAAATTCTTAACATTGAATGCCAGGTTAACTAATTATTACTTTTATTTCTTAAAATTTAAGAAAGAGTAAATTTTTCATTACACCTATGGTAATCATATTTCTGATTTCGATGCACAGATGACTGACAGGTAAATTTCAGATAAAAAATCTTTGAAATAATTAATTTTAAATATCACACATATTAAAATATGTTTGTACTATATTTGTATTAAAAAAAAAATGTTAAGCTTCCACATAATGATTTTTACAACCAACAATTGAAAGTAAAAATTATAATTCCAAACCAGACAACAATTCTATAAACCCATTTTATACACATATAATGCATAATATGATAATGTATTATACATAAGTACCTACCAAATATATATTTTAGTATAATTTTTTTTGTGTTAAATCAATTTAAAATAACTATTTTTTAAACCAATTTTATTAATAGAATAATATTTTATGGCATTAACTGAATTACATACTAGCTATTTATTGTATGCAAAACTCGCCTTGAAATTATTTTTAAATGTATAAATAAATAACAAACATCTATTTTGCGCTTATATGTATGAAGTTGGTGAGATTTGTGTCTACTACACGTATCTTTATTATTTTTTTTTACCTATTATGCAAATGCAACTTCGTATGCAGGCCATTTTGAATATTTTATCGTGCCACATATTATTCTCAAACATACCCTCAACAAAATATTCACAAACAAATCTTTTCCAGAATATCATATCAATTGTAAATAGACAATTTGATATTAGAGTTTAGTCTAACTTTCTCAACAGTGGCATGATCGCATTAATAGATAAACTGTACTATTCCATAACTACGGCGAAATATTTTGAATATTTTAATTGCGTACCTTTGGAGAATTATAATAAATGGAATTTCGAAAAGGTTGCAGTCCCTAGGAATACAATTGTTTGAATTAAATCAAAATAACTAAAATAATATCAAGAAAAATTATAATTGTTCGTTTAGATATCAAATTTTAAAATTTAAGATGATGCCATGATCAAGAATTTTATAAATCGAATATTTATTGTAAAATTGTATCGATTTTATGAGTATGTGACGTGTGATCTTGGAACCGACATCAATTGTCTAACCTCCCAAAACTGACTAAAGGTCGATATAAAATATAACTTACAACGATAATGATCTGATACTTTTAGAATTTAAATCGTGAGTTCCAGTGTTTTTAATTCTTCGATACAAGCAATGTCTTAAATGGAGCGATGAGCCCAATATTATAATTATTGTTCTCTCAAATAATTTGACAACAATTATACACTTGTACAAGGAATTCAACAAACACGTTGTTGTAATTTTCGCACACTTGTTTTACAGAAAATGTGTGAAACGTACATCAAACATCTCAATATCTGATGTATACATAGTAAAATATTAAAAAATAAATACTAAACATAATAGTTTATGTCTCAGACTAAATGTTTGCCAATTAATTCAGGGTTTGAATCTCATAGAATTTACATATTTTTTATATACTGAATGATAAATCTATCAATGTGCTAAATAAGTCGCTTTTGTGAATCCTCAACACCGTATCAGTAATTTAAATGAGTACATATTTGCATATTTTGTAGACTTTGAAATACAAATGCTTATTATATGTATGCATGGTTTTTACATGATATTTCACAATACATTTTAGCGGTTTTCAATTTGAATAATAAATTCTATATTTAAATTGATGATTTGATTGTTTAGTCTTTTTCAAATGTAACGCAAGATGTCACGTATGTTATACGTTAAAAATACATTGGTAAGTATGATTTTTTTTATTATCATTTGGAGTTAAATTTTTGGAAAAAATTGTCAAAACTACATTACTTGTATATTATTAAGTAGTACAAAAAGTATAATATTTTCAATTTTTAAAGCTAGGGTTTGAAAATGGAATACAAGATTTCCAATGTAATTCTTACCGTGCACATTTTATTTTTTCATAGACATTTGAAATTAAAACTGTTATTAAATTGGATACAAATATAATAAAATAAAACATACTTAATAATGCAAATGTTCTGTCAACTTATGTAATTAAATTTATTTTGTTTTAATTCTATTGTATTGCACCAGTGTGCCTATTTGTAGTTGTTACCGTACATTACTTATAATAAATAAAATGAATAGCCATATATTTATGAAATGATAGGCTGAGTCACACGCTGTCTTCAATCAGAATCGTTTTTCGTATACAATTATTTATCAATGAATTCTGTAAATATGTTAACACATCCGTCACAGTGACCTACTCAATGACACAAGAAACCTACTGTACAACAGATCGGTTACCTACTTGCCCACTTTTCATCATTGTTAGCATACGATTAAATAAAGATGTTCTGTCATTTTGTATAGTATAACATAAAATGTATCTAAATCGACTATTACGCAAATATTTTTTAGAATTTTTTTCACTGTTCTTGGAGTTTATAACAATTTCTATTTCAGCTACGAATGCCATGACCATTACATTTCCAATATGTTTATTCATAGTTACACGTGTGCTTAGCGTATTTCTATTGCTTGGATATTTTAGGGAATACCAGCTTATACAATGTAAGGCCGTATTATAATGATGTCTAAGGGCTATAAGTTCTAAACGCCCCAGTGGCGATTATTCTTATCGTCACGTTTAACGGAATGTCGAAAATCCGACCGTGAATTATTTTACCGTACCTTACCATATACCCTATACCCAGCCCTTATCCTCCTACAGACGGTATACTGCACGTGACCGACGACGTATTGCTCGGCGCGGTGTCAAAGCGATCGTTGACGGTAATCGCAACAGCAATCGTTTAAACGGTTTAGCCTCCACCCCACCACGACAACCCACCCGCCGGTCGAAATTGTGGGCAAGTGGTACGTAGGACGCGTAGGATGCGCGCTCGTCACCGTAGCCGTGGCCGCGGCCTCTGCGTATATAGTCGGGGATGAAACACTCGGTACGAATAATCCGTGGCGGCCACTAGCAAGCGCCCTAGCGGCCGCCGGCCCCGCAGTCCGACCACGGACCACTCCGTGCACATATAATGTCAGTGGGACGAATGAGGGACGGTGGCTGTGGGACAACGGCGGTGGCGGCGTCGGCGTCGGTGGTGGACGATCCACGACGGCGACGGACGAGCGCCGTTCAGAGAGCGTTGCGCTGCTGTTGCTGGCGCGCAGCTAACGGGCGCGCCGCGCGCCGGCCCGCTGATCAATATAACGTGGAGGAGGGTGGGCGCGGTGGTATTTCGCATCATTAAACTAAACGCCAGAGCGCCCCGGCGGACGCGCGCGATTTTCGTCGGGCCGGCGGAGGGTACGGCGTTGTCGCTGTTGGCGGGGAGTGGTCGTGGTCGGTCGCGGCTCGTCGGTCGAGGTGACGGCGAGGCGAAGGGAGGCGGCTAGAGTTTTTTCGGCCGCCGCCGCCACCGCCTCGGAAGCGCCGCGCGTCAACGGCGGCGTGCGCGCGCTACGGCCAGACCGCGACACCGGCGCGCTCACTGCCGCCGCCGCCATCACCTTTACACGCCGCCGCCGCCGTCGCCGCCGTGAACCGACAGTCGACTTGGGCGCATCACGCCGTCAGAGTCGTCGTCGTCAGATTCGTCGCCGCTACCGTCACAGACGTCGCCGACCGGTGCCAGTGGTCGGACGTGACGGTTTTTGGCGCGCGCTCGTCCAGGCATCACGGAGCCGTAGTGGACGAACGGCCGGCCATGCGGCCACCGCCGGACCGGGGACCCGGTCCTCCGCCCCGTTCAACGATGCTATCCAGGATCGTGGCCGTCCTCCTAACGGCCGCACTTCTGACGGACGTTGCACTTGCCGAGAAGAACAAATTTTGTGAGTATTCATTTGTATACCAACCTATATAACACCCGGCCCATACTGATAACAACTGATAACCATACCTTTTCGTTTCACAATAAAATATTTTTTTTTTTTAAATATACTTTCAAACTTTCGTCAGTGTTTTTTCCGACGACTTGACCTAACCCAACGGTCGGGCAGGATCATCGGAAAATTTCTATTGCAATACTAGACACGACCTCGCCAGACTTCGCAGGCCTCGGATATCCTACAGTCCCTTGCCCAAGTCCTCCAGCACTCTGCTCATTTAGGCCACTTTATCTATAAGATTTTAGGCGCTTAACGGTGTGATAACGGCTCGGGGCGAGTATGAATTTTTAATGTCGTACACACGCGTAACGGGTTATCTGTGCACGGAGTGTGTTGTGTACGATGGGAACTCGCTTCAGTCGTGTTAGCAAAATTTAAGAAAAAAACGAAACAAAACAAAAAACCAACTTTTATTTTTAACACACCCTGTTAAGTCGATAACACTATAACTGGGCTTCTTTTCCTCGGACGTTTTCACCCAGTCCAACCGACGTGGTGTTACGGTAACGTCGTCGTTTAACGATGCGATGGTGCGCAACACGAGTTAAGTCTCGTCGACTGACGTACTGATATCAATGTATATATTTCGAATTTTTAAACGACCGTTTGATGCGACGTCGACGGTTCTCTCCCCACCACGACCAGCGCCACGTGCCACAAAGGTGTGCTTTCGCGTTTTCCGCCGCCGCCGACACCGCCGACACCGCCGCCGCCGCCGTAATACTATTATAATAATATTATGGTAGTAATAACAGTAGTTGTACACGCGTAGCGAAATACACTGAAATACAATAACTATAATATGTTGTCCTGTCGTATACCGTTATGCACCAGTCGTAGTGTCCTGCAGTGGTTTTGTACGATAGTTTTTTTCGTAGAATAGTAGAGTAGCAGTAGTAGCAGTAGTAGTTGGCGTTAATAAAATATAATATCACATGGGTAGGGTAGGTTAGGTACCCACCCCGTAGAGTGGTAAAAGTAACTACCTGGTAGTAGGTAATTTACGAGCAGTGCATACGCACTTTTCAACCGTTTGGCGCCACACGTCACACACACGCACATTAGGTTTCGATTTTTTTTCCCCTTTCATAATTTCGCACGTTATTCAAAGTCGTGAGCGCTCTTTCTGTGACGGGGATTATATATTACAATATATTATGATATTATTATAATCATAATACGCCCAGACCGTAATGAGTTTAATTTTTTATTTTTTTTCCCGTGACTTCAAAATATCGTTTACGAGCGGATACAACAATAGCGTTATAAATTATGCTCTAGTCCTAAAATTCTAAAATCATAATATTTGGATTTCTCTCTCGTATATATTATTTAAAAGTAAATATATTTTCCCTCCTTACATGGACTGCTGGAATTATAAAAAATTAAATTTTCGTTAAAATGATTCAATCAATTTTTCACTTTGTTGTTATTATTGTTAAATAGTATGTGTGTATTTTTTTTTCCACTGTGTTATTAATCGTTCTACATATTTTATTGGTACATTTCTTTTTTGTTATTCTCTATCAATCATTAGGTATTTATGATTGTTGCCATATTTATCATAAAGTACAGGGTCTACCACGGTAGACCCAGCGGTAAACTGAGTATACTGTAAGCTCTGGTAAACTCGGTTTTAAACAACATTCAGAAATTAAAATGCTATTGTGTCACTGCGTACTTACCTTTTGGTTATACTGATAAAAAAAATCAATTTCTAATAGTGTTATACGAATGGAAATGTGTTAACTTAAAATTATTAATAAACCTATCTACTTATTTCATTCCTTGATCCTTCCTCAGATTCTTTCTAATATTATTTTGTCCTATTCATTTTTACCATACCATACATTATAAAATCACATAGATACTATTGAAATAACTATTTACCCATAAGTTATAACAATTATGCCTAGTTTAAACATCAGAAAAATGTTTAAGTAAAATAATAGTTACTTATAATACATAAATTATGATTTGAACTGATAGATAAAATGGCATAACTATTTGACAGATTTATGTTACGATACGAGTTTTTAGATATGTTTCGTATTCAATTTTAACTGTTTGAGTTAGGTAAAGTGTCGCAAACGGACCTGATAAATTGAATCATAGCGAAACATATCATTTTTGAGGTACCTACGTAATTTAAAATTTAAAATAAGACTATTTGACTGTAGAGTTGGTCGCTTGAAGTAGGAATATCAAAAAAAATATATCAAAAGTATACATAGCTTTTATTATTTGCACAATAAATTATTGGTCAACTGAACGTTGTTTAGTTAAATTTATTTTGGCCATGTTTTAAAAAAATATATTACGCAAGCAAAGCACTTGCTTTTATAATATTTAATATGTTGGTAACTTCCAAATAAATCGAATTTATTGTTTTGCTAAAAATAATTTGACTTGTATTAAAAACAATTTAAAAAAAAACAAAAATTATTAAAAGAAAAACTACATCACCGAATATAAAAATGATTTTTTTATCGCCATGACGTTGTATTTAAATTATTTGGTTTTTATACAATTATTAATAAAATATAAAAAAAAAATTTAATTAAAACATATTAATTGTAAACATACGGAATAATTACAATCGTTGTTCACATTCATCGATATCCGATATTAGCCGTAATATAATGTTATACAATAGTATTAGTACTATACACTGTTACTAAATTAATCGTAAATCTACGATTTTTAATTTACCTGTGCTTACACGTAATTTTACTGTCAGTTTATTTTCATAATTTCAGTCCATATAGCGTAGATCGGGCAGGCTATGTTCAAATTAATTTGTTACATGATGATAATACTCAAAATAAAGTTTGAAATCATTATCGTATTGTAAGTGAAATAATAATAATAATAATAATAATAATAATAGAAAAACAGAAAACAATAATACAAATATTTATGACAATTAAAATGTTTAAAATATATTTTATGCAAGTACACACTTTGTATTCAGAAATCAGCAATACGATACTTCATTGTTGTATGGAAATAAGTTGCAACAATACAACATTTGCTATCTGTATAAAAAGTATATATTCAAACGCCCCGAGATGTATTACTCTTCATAATAAAAGTCTATAGTCCAAGTTTATCTTTTAAAATTTGGATAACATTCTGTCCTTTGCAAATGAGTTGGTCGCTCCAGGGGTTATCTTAAATAACAATGTATTAACATTTGAAACGCATCGTAGTCGTATATTTCATTGTCTACCTTTCTGCCGAATGAACTGATCATTTCCTGCAAAACGTATTTATTACAATAACATTGCATATAATTATAATAATGACAACAATGTCCGAAACTCCAAATAGAATATAACCAATAGGTCCTAATATAACTAATCGGTTTAATTAGATTAAATAATTAGGTTAGACTAATCAATATTGCTTGTATATTTTGCTTTTATTGCAAATTATTGTCATCCATAGAATGGTTTCAATTGAAATTATTTTCATGCTTTTAACACATGCAATTGTCAAACACAATAATTATTGTTATATTATTATCACATAATTATATTCAAAAATAAAGATTTTTTAGGAAACTAGAAGTTGAATTTAACTACACTAATTATTTGAATTGCATCATCCCGTTTTTAACACAATACCTATTATTATGACTGATAAAAAATAAATAAAAAATAATCCAAACCAATACATACTAATATTACGTATGTAATATTGTAATTTTAATTATCTTTAATATTTACGATAGTGACGCGTGCAGTAGATTTTACTTACAACATAGTATATTTAGTTAAACTATCACGAGATTAAATTAAGTTTTTTTTTGGTTGTAATTATTTATATGTAATATTTATCACCTCTTATAGTAATAATTTGTTTGATTTTTTTAATTGTGTGATTATAAATGTATAATGTTTATATTAGGAACTAAATAGTAAACACAACTACGAATTTAAAATATTGACCTTTTCTTATTAAACCTAATTCATAGTTCATACCTAATAATAAAATATAGAATATAAAAACAAGGTCGATCGAGGTGATTTTTTTATAATATGTAGACACTCATTTATCAAAAAGTATTAACGGTCGTTTAAGTATATTTTGTTCATCAGAATTTCAACTAATGATCAAAAAAACGTTATATAAAAAAAATTATATTATTACGTCTTTTTCTTGATGAAATCGTCATACATTAATAATTGCATATTTGAAAATTTTTCTGAAGATTTCGATTTCAGTCTATAAATATTAATTTTTAGATAAGTTTTTACTTGTTAATAAGCTAAAATTGTTTAAAGTTCTTACGCGTGAAGAAGTAGTTGACCAACATGTTGTACGGTACCTCTGGCTCACTACGATCATTTTATTTTAAGTACTTATATAAGTATATGTAATCAACTCCTGGTTGAAAATTAAATCATTGTAATATACTCATATACATTAAAATAGTTCTTAGAAAATATTCTGATGTGGAAAATAAAATAACATTCAAAAAGTGAAAACTTAAAAAATTATTTATCATTAAAAAATAAATTTCCAGAAACACATATCTTTTAAGAAAATAAGTGTTTACCTTTAAATGAACAAAGGGATAAAAATATATTAACACAACCATATTTTATTTTTGTAAATATTATTATTATTGATATCTCACTATAGAGTAGCACTATATATGGCTGCTATATTATAATGGTCCTTTGTTGGTAGGTTGGTTTGGTAGAAAACTAATTTATTACGTTTCATATTATTAATATCAATCATGGATATTAAAAAAGTTTTTCAAGCTTTTATATTATGTAATTTAAATGTAATATAATATATTACAAATTTTAAAACTTTTAAGAGAGTCATTATGTCTCAAATTAGAGAAATTAACTTTTTGATTTATTAATGTCGATGCTACTTATGTTGATTCAATATCAAATAATTAAAATGACTATAATTATTTATAA